GGCAACAAAGGTTGAGAAAGACTCATAAGCCACCTCGTGTTGTGCAGATGACACAACCTTGCCTGTATAAAGGGAAGCACTTAGAAAAAGAACAAAGACTATAGCCTTCAATTTGGATTGCATCTCAACATAAAAAAACAAAAAATCTTCACACTGGACCAATAGGCAACATCATGACAGAAGGAGAAAAGACTGAAGTTGTCAAGGATTTAATTTTACTTGGATCCATTATCAATACCATGGTAGCAACAGTCAAGTAATCAAAAGAAGTGTTGTACTAGGTAAATCTGCTGTCAAGGACCGCTCCAAAGGGCTAAAGATCAACGATATCAGTTTAAAGACTATGGTGTGCCTGATTCAAGCCATGGTATCTTTAATTGCTTGGTCTACATATAAAAGTTGGATAATGAGTAAGGAAGACTAAAGAAAAATTGATGCCTTTGAATTGCTGCATTGAGAAGAGTACCAAATAGCCCATAGACTGCCAAAAGAAAAACAAGTCTGTCCTGGATGAAGTGCAAGGAGGGTGTTCTGTAGAGGCCAAGATGGTGAAACTTGTTCTCACATATTTTGAGCATATTGTCAGGAGGGGCTACTCCTTATAAAAAGGATTAGAAAAAAGTTTAGAAAAGTGCAGGCTTGAGGAAAGAGATTTTCAATTAGATGCACTGACACAGCGACTGCAATATTGGGTTTAAGAATGGATGAGATTTTGAGGATGGTGCAGAATTGGAAAATATTATCATCTGTTGTTCAGTCACAGTCAATTCAACAGCAATAACCTAACAACAGCAGCAATAACAAAGTTGTAAATTTGTATTATCTAAGTTGTTGTTATGTGCCATCAAGTCGTTTGCGATTCACAGCGACCCTATGTACAACAGCCCTAAACCCTGCTCTATCCTGTGCCAATCACACTGTCTCTGACACTCCCATCCCGATTATCCTAGTCACTGACTCAATCCACCTCATAGAGGGTCTTCCCCTCCTGTGCACTGTCTAAGTAGACTAGAAAATTTGGAAGTACAGTTATGATGCATGTATGCTAACATTATAGCTCTCAATTTATTGTACATTGTTGTTGTGAGGTGCCGTCAAGTTGAGCTAGACTCATAGTGACCCTATTAACAAAAGATCTGAACACTGTACTAATTAATTTTGAGCACCAGTCAAATTAGAGAGCTGTGATGACTTAGTAGTAAGGAGTTGCACTACTAATTTGAAGGCACGTGATTCAAATTCACCAGCTACTCTGTGGGATAAAGATAGGCAAATGCCTCCTGTGTGATTTACAGCCTCAAAAAACTTGACAGAGGGTCATGCTAGGAGTCAGTTCTGACTCACTGGTACTGAAACCACCATTCTATCTATTAAGGAGTCTTGGTGGAATAGCTATGTGTTGAATTTGTAACTGAAAGAGGTCAGCGGTTTGAACCCTCTAGCCATTTACAGAAGAAAGACAGGAGTCTCCCCCCTTAAAGATCTACAGCTTCAGAGAGCAGACACAAAGCTGCTCTGAGCTGGAATTAGAGAGCAGCATCAGGTTTCGTTTTAAGGTAAGTACATTTCTGAAATATCTTTTCTACTTTTATATGAAATGAATAAAACATGGTTTTGAGAGAAATATTTCTTAAGAAAGCCACAGGTTTTCCAAAACATTTACAAATCCAGAGATATGAGTGTGTGAGACAAGTAAATAATTTTGGGAAAGTTTTTAAAAAAACACAAGGTGGAGCTGAAAGTGAAGGAAGCTACTGCATCTCCCTGAACTGAAGCCAAAGAGAAGGCATTAAAGGTCAAAAAAGTCCTCAAGGTCATCTACAGCCACCAAAAAAAAAGAGATCTGCATGTCACCCACCTTACGGTGGTCTAAGATGCCAAGACTTCAAAGGCAGGGCAAATACCCCTGGAAGAACGCCCCCAGGAAAAACATGTTTGACCACAATGCCATCATTGAGTTTCCCCTGACCACTGAGTCAGTCATGAAGAAGAAAAAAGATAGTAACATATATGTGTTTGTTGTGAATGTGAAGGCCAATAAGCACCAGCTCAAATAAACTGTAAAAAAGCTCTATGACAATGATGTGGCCAATGTCAATCTTGATTAGGCCTGATGGAGAGACAACCTATGTTCTCTATGTTCGACTTGCTCCTGACTGTGAGGCTTTGGATGCTGCCAACAAAATTGGGATAATCTAAACTGAGTCCAGCTAGCTAATTCTAAATAAAAAGTGCCCCCTCCCCCCCAAAAAAAACCCACAGAAACAAATCTGAAACTCTTTGCCCTCGAGTCCGAATTAACTCATAGTTGACCCTCCAATGGATTTCCAAGACTGTAAATTGCAGAGGAGACAGCCTTTCTCCTGCAAAGCACATGGTGGATTTGAACCATGTACCTTCAGGTTAGCAGCACAATTCATTATCATTAAGCCAACAGAGCTTCATAATAATTAAATTGATATCTAATAATTAGATGTCCAAAACTGATTAGTAAAAAAGTATGTAGGGGAGCTCTGGTGGCCTAGTGGCAAGAAGCTGCACTGCAATCCCAGAGGCACACGGTTCGAATCCACCAGATGTGCTCTGCCGGGGAAGGAGGGACAGTCTCCTCCTGTACCAGTCAGATCTGATTTGACGGTACATGCACACAATAATAATAAATTTAAAAAATAAATAAATAAATAAAGTATGTACTGCAAATTAAGAGATGTTAGTGTACTTGTGCGTCCACATTTCCCAATAAGCTGTTGGTAGATCTGAACTACCAGCAAGGGTAATTTTCATAATAAACTACTTTTTCAAGGTTGAGTTCACTATTTCTTTCAAATTTGCTCATCTCTGTTGGTGCTACCCTTGAAAACTAAGGATAAAATAGGACTATGTCAAAGGGATATTAAGATAGAGCTGGATCTCCACTGCTAACTACACAGCTGGGTTAATTCTAAAATGAAATGTGTAAACTATTCTTACAAACTTTTGAACTTCCTTTTCCTAGATTCTTCCTCAATTCTCCAAGAGTCAGTTTCTTTCTTTGCTTACTATTGAAAAATTAACCCAGAACCTTTAACTCGTGACTCTATTTCTCCAGTATTCATAGTTGCCTTATGCTTATACTTTAAAAACTACAAGTTGTGTGGGCCATGAAATTCTTTTAGCAAACTACAACTAACATTCTTTAAAAATAAAACCTCACCAGATGCTCTGCTGGAAAAGGAGGGACAATCTCCTCCTGTACCAGTCAGATCTGATTTGACGGTACACACATACAAAATTAAAAAAATAATAAAAATAAAACCTATGTAGTCTAGGGGCAAGATGCTGTGCTGCAATACCGAAGGCATGCAGTTCAAATCCACCAGATGGTCCGCTGGAGAAGGAGGGGCAAACTCCTCCTGTACCAGTCGGATCCGATTCAAAGTACACAGACAAAAAAGAAAAAAAAAAAAAGAAAAGAAAACCTAATCAGAATATACTGTATATGAAGAAAAGCTTTATTTTGTTTAAAATACATGTGTATTTGTGTATATATATTTATGATGAACTTACATGGCTCACTGGTTTAATAACTGTATATACATTTTAAAGAATAAAAACAAATGCTTATCCACAATAAAGGGAATAAACTAAAAGGAAGTCAGATGAACCTAATTTTATTAAGATTACATTCAAATTTCACTATCAATTTCCACTATGGCATATAGTCTGCATTTTAACTGTTTAGGCAATTCATTAATTGTATATAAGGATCTAACTCAGCATGCATCCTAAACACACTACTACGTTTTCAAAATCAGAAAGAAATATAAGTAATACGTGATACATATCTCCAAGTGTTAAATAAGCTACAAGTGTCACAAAAACTTTGGAGAATGATGCTTTCTGATATCAAAACAGAACAAAACACACACACACACACACACACACACACACAATTTATTAGAACAAAACATTTATGATGGTAGCAATACATATTACTAAATTTGGAGCTTGAGAGAAGGAAAGTTAGGCAATGCTTCATCAACATTTTCCATTAAAATTATTTCTATAGTAGGAAGTCAATTTACTGTCACTCATATTTTTAAAGTCTGGAATCTAATTCTGTTCTTTTCATTAATAGCCCTATTTTTTTTTAATTATTATTTTTATGTGTGGACCATCAAATCAGATCTGACTGGTACAGGAGGAGATTGTCCCTCCTTCTTCAGCAGAGCATCTGGTGGATTCGAACCTCACACCTCTGGGATTGCAGCACTGCTTTTTGCCACTAGGCCACCAGAGCTCACCACTAAAATGGTCCTATTTTTAAAGTCCCAAAAAGCATGCAGACCATAAGCAATGCTCAAGAAACAAACAAAAAAATGTGAGAAGGAAATTATATGGGTTTTTCAGAGTTCATGGGTTAAATTTAAAACAAAACAAAACACAAAAACCAAAAACCATCTTCCAAATCAGCTTCCAATCTTTCTACCTAGCAGAAGTGACACAGCATATAGACTAATTATTACCCCTTTTTGCAAATTAGTGTTATATATCTCATTGAGAATAAAAATCAATCCTTTAGCAGTAAGTGTGAAGTCACATATGATGTACATATGGATTTCGGACCTCATTACTTGTTAAACTCACCTTTAATAACTCTGTAATAGCCAACAATCACACGAAAAAGTACTTCATATTATTATTTCCTATGCTTCACATCATTACTTTTCTTTACCATGGTTATACAATTTAAAATCACAATGAGACACTACTAGGGGTCCTATGTTCACTTTGGTGACATTAAGCATTTAGAATATTGTTTACGAAATGCTCTGTATCTGGATGTGGGTAACTGCTATGTAATTATAAACATCATGCTATATACTTAAGATATGTGCACATTACAATATGTAACTTAGCATTCACTGTCCTAGGATCTTTATGGTCCCATCAGGCTATTATTTAATATTATTTATACTGATCAAGAGGAAAAGAGAATTCATGCTGAAATATTTTCTTACCTTTAACAAAGGGCAGCTACAAAGGTTGGGAAAGGAGAGTGGAAAATTAACCTCAAGAAGGAAATCCTTGTTTCTCAGATAACTCTGCTGGCTCTCCCCTTCTGGGTCTCCCCAGGAGCGTAGTTGATGGAGCCTGTAGGAGGCTTTCAGAGACAGGAAAATAGCTAACCATCTGAAATAAACCACAGCAGACATGCTTATTCAGTGTTCCACGGACGTTTAAAGGTTGTTCACTTCAATGAGGAACCATCCAAGGGGTTTCTAATTAACATGCCTCTTTATGAGTAAATACTGAACTTTTTAGAAACAGTAAATTTTTTCCTATTTTTTGATAAAGTTGTTTCATATTTCTGTTCCATAAATTCTGTCATTGCTATGGCTTGATTTGCTACTATGGTATACTAGTTGGTTTGCTAGGGAAGATAAACAAAAATCCTTGGAAAAGCTCTAATTATTAAGAAATACTCAACTCTATAAAAAAAACCTCTTATCCCCCCAAAAATCCTTATATTAGAAAGATTTTTTAGTGAGATCACTCTATTCCTATAAAGTTATAACTCTTTACTAGAGCTCTAAAGTTATAAAATATGTTAAAGCCATCATGCCAGAGAAAAAGAACTTAGAACCAGGTTGCTCAGACAGCATTCAAAGAAGTCTATGATGCAATCATTACTAAATAAATCAACAGTATCTGTATATTCTGTTGAAGCCAGTAAACATTAAAAAACTAGATATTAAGAAGATTTAAAGAACTTACAGTCTATTGGGAGATCAGTTAAAATAGTCTTTAAATTATTATAGGAATAATTCTCACTCTTAACAGAGGAATAGGAGCATCTCAAAAATTAGATACCAAAATATTAACTTTATTTCATTCATCTTGATCCCTGCATCAAACAGTAAAAAAATCTTCTCACCTGGCCAAAAGTCCCTGAAGCATAAAGTTTGCCATTTCTGCTGGAGATACATCAATAAATCGAAGGAAAGAGAAACAACTTTCTTCATTAACTCCTAGAAAATGAAAGGACAAAGTTAAACTCAAAGCAACCCAAGATATACTACTAAATAAATCATGTCAAACTGCAGGGATTTTACCAAGACATATATATTCTAAAGATTCCAACTTGGCTACTCCAGTGGAAGTTCAAGTCAAATCTTTAGACTCAAACTGCAGACTAAAGTGACAGGTCAACCAGACACTGCATGTATAGGCCAGAGTAGATCTGACTTATCATTACTTTTACAGCTTTTGGCTCTTTGCTGGTTTTGCTTTTTATATGCCAGTAAAAATTAAAGGAAAGAACAGAAGGAAGAAGCTAAGTACTCCCAAACTTAGCCTCAATAGTCTAAATAATGTTGTGCAGCAACTTTTTCTCAAGATAAAGAGGAGGGAATTAAGTCCCTAGTTATAGTAAAACCAAAGCACTGTGGTAAATCCTTGACATACCTTACTTTTCAAAGATTAAGAACATGTACCTTTTCTATGGAAGAGCGACTGCTGGATATGGTCAGGTGCAAAAGGAGAAAGAAAAACTCGTAACCACCTACAAAAGAAATATTGCGATGTAAACTAGATTGGAGGTTCTACATTGAAGAGAATAGAGTGTGTTTTGAGTTTTTAACCAGACAAAAATCATGACATAAAATATTAGAAGTAAAAGCATTTAATCAAGTTAACAGGTGATAATACAAGTTCAAAGTACTCTCATTTTACTTCAGAGAATCACAATTTCAGCGCTGCAAACAACCACCCACTACATTAAGCAAAAAAGCACTACTATTCTGGTGAATTTTCACGTATGTTGCCACAAAAAAACTATAGTTTTAAGAAGAAACAAGAAACATGTCTCACTTTCAATTCGATTAGGCTAAATATTATTGACTATTATAATAGTACTGCTTTCAAAGAAGGAAGAGATTTCTAATTCATTGTTTTCAAACACAGGCATGCATAATAAGTAACCTCCAGAGGCATGTTTAAAAATCTAATGATTAGGAATGATTTAACTCAAAGGTGGAGCATAGACTTAAAAAACTTGTTTTCTGAATGGAAATGGTCTCCCTTGTATATTACGATGTTTCAAAATCACTTCACTTCTAACCAAATCTAATTCTTTACTAACTCCGAAATGCTTATGGAGTACTCAACATCAGTTCTCCAAAAGCCTCAGAAGAAGATAAATTTGGTTAATCTGAAATTCAGTCATTCTCTTACATATGTTACTTCAAGAGTAAAAAAACCCTTTTGACTATAAACATGGATAATATACCAACTGTCCATATGTATCATATGCACACAACCAAGTCCATGATTACATACCATGAACCAATTTCAGTACTGGAACTGCATCATGTGTCACATTCCGTCTTGGGAATGTACATATTTGCATACAAGTGCATATACATCATTCAAAAAGTTAAGAAAAGGTAACATTAGAAGTGGCAAGCACCTTTTAGGCCATGTAGTTAACCTTTAATAGTCTTTAAATTTCTACTACAACACCTCTATTCAACAGTTGTCCAATAGTTCTTTCCATATTTCATTGTTGGAAAATTAAAAAAAACAAAGAGACTTGTTAGTATATTTATCTACTAAACTACAACATCCAAACTTAAAAAAAAAATTCTCATGGTTAGTAGGTATTAATTAAAGTGATTAAAAACCAGGTAAATAAAATAGACAAAGGGAAAGGCAACACAATAGAAGCAGCTGATACTGTAATTAATGAAAATTACATTAACTCGATGCTAATTAATGTTATAAAAATGTCTATAAATGATTATGTTAAATAATGTCATTTGTTTATTTCCATGGAAATAGAGTGTTTCTTTTTTTAAAAAACAAGGAAACAAAAACCCACAGATTTACCCACCTGTCTCGTGAATGGTTAAAGACCCTGATCTGTCCATGACGGTAGACAAATTTTGAAATCTGGTATGGCTTTAGGGAAATATGAAATGGAGACCATGTTTCTTGTCGTTCAAATAACTCTGGGTGATTACATACCTAAGAGGAAGAAAAATGGTGAAACAATATTCTTATGTGCAGATGTCACTCTGAACAATGATGGGAAACCTCAAATCCTGAATGGCTGCTGCTGCTGTTAGGTGTTGTTAAGTTGACAATACTATAAACAACAGATCTGTGCTCTGCCTTATCCTGCCCAGTCTGACCATCTCTAATACACTCAAGTTCACTGTTACAGTCACTAAGTCACAATCTCTTTCTGAAAAATATTCCTTCTTTCTGACCCTCTACTTTTACCCAGCATGATGTCTTTTTCCAACGACTGGCCCCTTCTGACAACATGCCCTACGTATGTAAGAGGAAGTGTCACCATCCTTGCCTCTATGGAGCACTCTAGTTTCCCATTTTCCTCTCTTCTTAACAATTTTGTTTTTAAGTTTCCACTATCATAATCACAACAGTGTGCTGATATCCTTTGTTTACTTAGCATCAGTGCGAGAATGTTTTCTTCCAATTAGGTAAGGAGAAATTTATTTAAAAAATTAATAATTTTATAAAACTAAAATTTTAATACAATAAAGTAAAAACTGAGTTAATAACATCAGTTCATAAACCCCACACTCTTACCTTCCTAAACTGCATGACCAGATTCATGAGGCTGCTGGTGGTGGTCTGTGCTTGCTGGGTTGAGCCCATAGAAGACTGCAACAAATCCTCAATGGAGATTTTGTTCTTTAATGCCTGATATAGCAGCTTTTGCCGGCTGGTCAATTGGCAGTACATTAGAATCTCAATCTAAAAATCAGTAAGAATATCTGTTTTTGGAAACACTCTTTGTAAGAAAATTCAATTATCAACCTAAGGTTGAAAACAAGTTCTTTATAAACTTATGATACTGGTAATCTTATTCTTTCATTGACTCTCTTATCACTCAACATGTTCTCCTTGGGCAATCTCTTCCATTTCCTAAATAATCAAATACCAGTGACTTGCAAAAATAAGTTTCTAAACACTTTAGCCTCATATTTTTAATTACCTAATATGATGGTGCCATTCAGAGTTTGAAGACATTGCAAAAGTGACACAGCAGAAAAAAGAAAAAAAAAGCCAATAAACTCCCAAATTTATTAAATTGAATATAATACAGCTGTCCAAAGAGCAGGCATTACCATTTAATTCACCTATCCAAAGAGAAACTTCGGTTAGCTCTTATTTTGTTACTCTCATATTTATGTACTATTTCCTAAATTCTTTAACTCAAGTGGAAATTTATCTCTATCCTCTGTGACCACTGGTACTTCCCTATTTCAGGCCCCCTTCATTTCTAGTCTATATAGATTGCTATTATTTTTGGGTTTTCCTGACACCAATCTCTCCTAGCTCGAATACATTTTCTTCACAAATCAAAGTAATTGAACTGTCTAAAAATCTTCAACATACATTATTGTCTATAGTAAAAATATTACAACTTTCCCTAGGTATAGGTATAGCTCTTCCGTAATCTAACCTACCAATCATTGTCCTAGTGTCCTAATACATTGCCATCCTATACATCTTAGCCAAAATAATCTAAATTATTATTTGCCACACGATACATATGCAAATGCTGCTTTATCTTTGCACATTGTTTTTGCTTCCTGGCAACCCTTTCCTAACATGTTATCCTAATAAATACTCAACATCTGAAATCTAGTTCACACGTGTCTCTGCTTTGATGCAATCCCTAAACGTCTATGGAACTCCTAATCTTTATTCCCATTACAGCTCATATGCACAAGCCTTGGATCCTCTATCACACATCAATTCAACTCAACTCTCTGACACTGAGTTGGATCTGAATCACAGCTCACCTGCAGGATATAAATTACATGGAAGGAAATTACCCATCTTCCTCCCTCAGAACTGCTGTTGGATTCAATCCACCATTCACCTTTGTTGGATTTGATCCAAAGGGACTGTTTTTCATTCAGTAGTACAACTAACGCCTTGTGGATCTGAGCTCCTTTATTTACCACTAAATAACAGAAATTATGATGCTATTGTTTTCTTTGATACTGCTAATTTTTTTTAAAAAGCTTTCTAATAAGAAAGTCTCTGGTACCTATATAATAACTAAAATCATTAGTTTCACAAAACATACATCAAAATTAAAAGAAAAGTTTTGCTCTTTAAATAAAAACAAAAGTATACTCTGTCCTCTTTAAATATAGGTATACATCCCCATTACAATCTTCTAAAAAGTCATTAATTTCAAAATTATTTGACCTTCTAAATAATCATCTGATATTATCAAGAACCTAGGATATATACAATAGGAAGAGAGTAAAATTCTCTAAATTTCAACTAAAGATACCTTCTGGATTCCCCTCTCCCTCACCAAAGCCCTAAAATGATCTCTAGTAAGGCTTAAATGCACAAGGTATTTCCTTACTTTGTCTGATAGCTCATTTTCCACATCTTTCTTGATTCTCCTTAACATAAAGGGCTTCAGGATCATGTGTAAACGAGAAAGTTGATCTGAAATGTCAAGAACCCCCAAAATATGTATCAATGTATAGAAATAATTAAAAGCAATTTTATGCTTATCTTTCACTAAGGCCTTCAAACCCCTTTTGACTTAGTGATTCCTCTGAATGAAAGCTGCAACAGAATATTTTTTTCCACTACGAGGAATCCAAGGAATCTAAATTTTCTACAGCACCCCATTATATACTAAAAACATTTTATATATAAAAACCTTTCACTCTAATTTACATACTGCAAATTAATAAGAATCAGTATATTTTCTTTAGCATTTACTCTTAGAATACACTTTTAAGTATATTTATAAGAAATAAGATTCTCACAAAGGTTTGATGCAAGCTATCTGGGACTCCTGATGTTACCAAAAATCCTTCATTTTTTCAGAGGTTGTCAATAAATAATTTGTCAAAGAAATTACTTAATGATTTTCCTAACAGTAAGTAGATATCACTTCATGCTCATGTAATAAAACCTTCAAAATGATCTTATCAGTTCTGTATCACTCAACAAATTTTAAAATCTTGATAAAGAAGGTTAGAAAACACTTAAAAGAATATATATTCTAATATACTTGGAAAATATAAAAAATAATCCGACTGTTTTCTTGTTTTAACACAAGAGAAAAGCCATTATTTAATGCATATTTTATTTTTTAAAAAATTTTATTATTTGTGTGTGTGTGTGTACTGTCAAATTGGATCTGACTGGTACAGGAGGAGATTGTTCCTCCTTCCCTAGCAGAGCACCTGGTGGATTCAAACCGTAGGCCTCTAGGATTGCAGTGCAACTTCTTGCCACTAGTCCATCAGAGCTCCCCTATGATGCATTAATTTTGATGTAAATTTTAAAACCTATCTGTAAAATGAAGTGTTTGTGCAGGCCAAGATGTAGTACTCTGACTTCTGGTCTGCCTTGACTAAACTAGGACCAGTAACATCTACATTAGTCTTTCCATCATTCTTTCACAATATATACAATACTATATATATAGGGTCAAGGACTGCAGCCTTCAGTATGGATTGAAGCTCAATGTCAAGAAGACAAAGATTCTCACCACTGGACCAACTGGCAGCATCAGGATGGATGGTGAAGAGACTGAGATTGTTAACAACTTTAGTCTGCTTGGCTCCACGGTCAACACTTGGCACCAGTAGCCAAGAAATCAAAAAATATATTGCGATGGGAAAGTCTGCTGTTAGGGACTTCTCCAAAGTACTGAAGAGCAATGGTGTCACTCTGGGGACTAAGGTGCGTCTGATACAGGCCATGGTCTTTGCAATCACTTGCTATGCATCAGAGAGTTGGACAATGATTAGGGAGGACAGAAGGAGAATTGATGCCTTTGAGCTTTGGTGCTGGAGAAGAGTACTGAATGTACCATGGACTGCCAAGAAAACAAACAGATTCTTCCTGGAGAGGGTTAAACCAGGCTGCTCCTTGGAGGCAAGGATTCTGAGGCTCCGTCTAACATACTTTGGACATGTTGTAAGGAGGG